CCACCACAGTGTCATTCTAAACGAGGTGTTAAGGACGAGGGAGCTAGCGGTAGAGAGGGGAGGTGCCTTTGCGGCTCGGGTGCACATGTGGCCCGTTCCTTACGAGACGCAAGTCCATTCTCCTTTCAAATACGCCCTTCTCATAACGGTAGGGAATGGAGCGACCGAGTCTGCAAAGAATACTTTTATTATGTTTTTTTGGCATATCCTCGTTTTCTGTGCGTTACACCCTCTCGCTCCTACTCCATCACCGACCATAGATTTTTTTCATGGACAATTTTGTACAAAAATGGAAGAAGTTCTGGCTCGAGCTTTTTGCCTTAAGTGTGGAAGTATGCTGCATGGTTTCAACGCGCAAATGGTTATATGTCTATGAAGTTCATGCTGAAACTGTACATCTTCCTGAAAAGTTTCCAGCCTTATTTATTTTGAATAGGCCCATTGACGAACCTCCTGATGTTTTCCAAACTAGGCATCCATTGCAGACAACGAAAATAAAGCACATGACATTGATCGAACTCGTTCTGGGACGCGCCGTGCACTCAACATCCGGCACGAGTCGCGTTCCTATCCACCCGCGGGTATCTGCTACTGCACTAATCATTGATGATTCCGGTCCTCCTTCCGCGGAAAGGAACTCACACGATTCGCCAAACCGTCTGCGTCTCTGCCTTATCGCCGCGCAATGGGCCTCCTGTCGAATACACTGGAGCTGGTAAGCGCCGCCCAACAACATCAGGGTCAGTGATAAAGACAAGGAATCAAATTGATGGCGACGTATCCCCTTAGGAAACAAACAAAAGTTCGCTCTTTTTTCTTAGTCAGTGGACACCCTCTTGCAAAGAAAACTCTTTAAAAAAATTGGATCCTCTCAGATTGGCAACTCTTTCGGCTCTGCCTTGTAGCCCTAACCTCATGCCTACGAAAGACCTTTTACTCTTGATCTCCAGCGCTCTTTCTCGGAAGGAAATTTGACGATGGTCTAAAACTCAACATTCGATCTTTCTTTGATCAGAAGCTCATTGAATTCCAGAACACATTTTCACAGCGACTATTTTCTTTAAGTAGAGAATATTTTGTGGACAATAGAGCTCCACGTGTGGATGAGCAAGCATTTCAAAGAAATATCAGTAAGTGTAAAGTAATTCGCTAAGTTTGGAAAGACCTAATGCAACAGATGATTAATTACTAGCTTAAAGATTGCGCCGTGCTCTTTGGTCTCCGATCCTAGTCCTGTCAAATGTAACACAATCTGCAAGGAGTGCTGTTCCTTTCGCAACTGTCAATCAAAAGAACTCATTCAGACGGGAATCGAGAAGGGATAAACTCATTGGTCTCATTTCCAAGATTAACCGAGTCGTGAGTTAAAGAGGAATCAAGGATGAAGACGAGGTCGAAGAAGGGGAAGCTTAGCTAGGTGAGAGACAGGCGGACCGCCTAAGGGTTCGGACCGACACGCAATCCCCATTTCTCGAGTTCTAGGCCATTTTTCTCGTTTTTCTTCTTTCTGGTCATCTAACTTAATTTCCAATGTGTTGTCTTTCCATCGTAAAGCCCGTCCTTAATATCCATAAAAGCACCTACTCAAACAAATGCTTCGTCTCCCTGATCTACGAGTAGTCATTGTAAAGATACAGAAGATGAGATGTTGAATAAGTGGCGTACATAAAAGAACCCGATAAATGTCAAGATAGGAATGCACTGAAAATTTGAAAAGAAGGATAAATACTTGGCGCAACCAAGAAGAACGTGAAGGAGTTGATGAACTCCGAGAAATTTGTTGATTTCACACATACACAACAAGTTCTTCATTATTCACTTCATGCAGACATGATTTACATGGAAAAAGAAAAGCAAAACGCGTAAATAGTATAGTTACCCATATTGATACAAGACTTTTAGGAACCGCTTAGCTAAAAATTCCTTTAGATAGAAATATGGTTATATTGAACACTTCCTATCGATTTTATAGTACAAGATCAATTCTCATAGCTAGAATCATTTGAAAGATAGCGGTCACGATAACAATAATCATTAATATCGAAGTGGAAGGAAGGGAAGAAATGGTACTGTAAATGGCATTGTCACTCGAAACTGACAATAAAGAAAATTTCAATAATAGGGATAAGGGTTAATAATATAATAAAAGGAAATATATTCACTACTAAAAGAAGATTTGGGACAAATTTTCCGGGCTCTTACAAAGGTTTTTTGGGTCTGTCACATCAAAAAGAGCATGTGCTGCAGCAGTTCGTGCCGCCTACAGCAACATTAACTTTTGCGTACCCAGAAATCAGGCTTCACGGTTTCAGGCTAAACTTTAAGAGGGTGGGATTTCTGGGGTGCAAGACATGCAAGTTTAAAATCTCGCCTAGAAACGAGTTTATTAAGGTGATGTAGGTATAAGCTAATAACTATGGAGAGTTGGAATTCACAGTGGATACTGATCCGAATTATCGTGACCGCACGCAACGAAAAAACCACTTGGAGCCATATAAATCTTCTATTTCTGTAATATATGTACAAAGGTACCAGTACCAAGATGAAAGAATTAGAGACAGAAGCGACGTCTCTTGACAAATTTCAGGTAAGGGAACTGGCTTTCGGCATATGTCCATGCGGCTTCCATCACACCGGCACACCATCTTTGGGTGAATGTTTCGCAATTCAATCCAGTCCTACAAGGTAGATTATTCATAGCTTCAGGACTCAAATCCTCAAAAATTGAGGAAGTTTAGTCACAAAAAGTGAGAAAACAGCCAGAATACCTCGTGAGCAAAAACATCTTTGCGGTTGGTCGCAAGGAAAGCTACAAGACGCTTGAAAAGCCGATCATCCTGCAAATTCCGTCAGAAATAGAAAAGTGAGGTATTTAAGGAATACAACAAAAAACGTACATTTAGAAAGTCAGCAATCTGAAGCCGAATGGCAAAATTTTCTACAGTTATATCTCGCATCAGAACTGCACAACAGTGGGCTTTTAGTCCATCCATCATTAGCCTGAAATATACGAATATGTACTTGGTGAAGTGGACGAAAGGTGTGCTGAAGCCGGGTGTATCAATCTCCCACACAAGATATCAGAGAATAACCGTTACTATCGATATACGAGTAACTATACCATAGAATAACCATTAAACCATGAGCGGTACTATTAGTCATTAAAGGAATACTTTCCGAAAAACCATGATCCCCTAATTCACAAATCACTGGCTTGAGACTCCCGTTCACGATAAGAGCGGAAAGAGCAAAAAATTGTGCTTGTTTTCGTAAAAAAAAAAACGGAAAACCGGAAGATTTGTTACGCGTTCAAATTCCCGCCGTACATCTTGTCGTTTTGTCTCCATTCGCCAAAATCAAACAAATGCTAGCGACGGGAACGCTTCTATTTGGTTCACGAGTGCTGTCAATGAAGCTTTTTTGACTTATTGGACTGACATCCAGAACCGATCCCACGACCTCTCGCCCATGAGCCAAGACCGCTACCGCACTTGCGCTTCATAACTACGTTCAAGAGTCGTTCGCAGATTTGGAGAGCAGATTCAAGATCAGCGTCCAAAAACACATCTAGTGGTGTATGTCTCATTTCAATGGCCACTTCGACCTGGAGTCCTTCCCTTGTTCGAAGTCTTGATGGTAAGAGAGGATGCGCGACAATCCACAACAACAACCAGCGCACCTAGTGTCAGCCGTTTTGCGACCTTTTGTCATTTTTGTATACTTACTAGCTGATCGAAAATGTAGGAGGCTTATTTCAGAAATGGTAATTATTTATGAACCATCCTGGAGGAGAAAACAAAGCGCTGCTTATTTTGATGTGCTTCTTGAATGGTAGAAATTTGAGGCCGAAACTTCATCAAACGCCCGACAACGCAGGGGAGAAGACGTTTACAAAAGCATTTATCGAACCTTGAGTCACAGTTCGGTCTTTGAAGAAGACGATCAGTTCAAACGGATCAGTTCAAACGGATTGTTGATTAAAGTTTCCGCCTATTACCTCTACGGCACAAGAAACACGTCAAAATGAATGATGGCAAGATAATGCCGAGGTTCGGACAAGACGAGAATGAGAGTTTTACCAAACGTGCAAATACACTGCGTTTCATAAATATAGGTCCACCCTAATTTTTTGCTATTCCAAAGTTGCTGTGCATTTTTGGAAAATGCCGCTATTACCAATAGTTTCCCCATAACGAAAAACCTTGATACTTGATTTCTGGAGAAATCTCGATTCAGAATTATTAAAATATCTTCCTTAGAACGTATTTTCACCGTTTCGCAAATATGACTACACATCACTTGTCGAGAGATTTTACTATAACGAAAAAACGTCACGAATTTTCAATAATGGGATGACCCCCCAATAATCATAAGGAACACAATAATACGTTTTGAAATGCTGGTAGCCAAATTAGCTATTACAGTAGGATCGAAATTCGTCTGGGCGCCGATGATCGACCTTTTCAGCTTTTCGGCTGTTCCATTTTGCTTTACTTTGCTGTGGAACTTTATAACAATTAAGGCCCAATGATTCTCTATTGGAATCTAATTCAGATAACATGGTGGCCACCAGATAACTGCCACATTTTTTCCTGCAATTCCATCTGGCGCGGAGGGACCGGCATGGACAGCCGCGTTATCGTGTGTGAAAATCAAGGATAGAGGGGATCCTTGTTGAAAAAATGGTAAGACTCGCTTCGAAAGAACTTCACGATACCTTCGGATATATAAAAGGATACGAAAAGCGACAAACAAAGCCAAGAAGAAAAATACGAAAGCTAGTCAGTACGTTCAAAAGGGGGGATTTTGGGGCGGCTCAACACTCAAACACAAGGGATTCACCGCCGAAATTACGTTACATTGAAACCATCTGCGATTTTCACGCGATCATCCTGTACCCTCTTTTTCTGCCATATCCACCTAGAATAAACTTTTCCACGTCGATCTCAGACCACCTGTAGAACGAAACAAGGAGGTAGAGTCCAAGATCGCGAAGGGTCTTAACAGCCACACCATCGCTCATTAAGTTGAGCCCTTTTCCACGGAGAAATGGAGACTTGCGATCTTGTAGCGCTCAAATAATCTTGGAACGCTCTTCATCAATCCGTTGAAGATGTTATTGCTCTGCTGGCTTACTCACCACACGGTGGTTTTGCTCACGGAAGGCCGCATTTCAGTACGGACTTTGTTCGGACTCCTTGTATAATTCGAGAGAAGACACCCAATTCCTCCTAAATTTTGAAGGAAACGCAGTCTTTATTTACCTAAGCGACTCTTCTCTCCGCACTGACCAGGATTTTGCACATAGTCGCTTATGCAGTATGAGCCGGCCGACATGGGAGGAAATTCTGCTCCTCAGCTATCCCACTTCAGTAAGTGCTCTAGCTTGAGCTTGTTACTGGGAAGAGAGGCGAATAACACGAGGTATGGTAAACTCGATGTCGACTGAGCCCACATATTTCCCCGCTTCCCTGATTCCCTTCACGGATCGTGAGAAATGGAAACTTTTTATGAGTGGCCCGATATTCATGAAACGGTGAAAATTCGTTCTAAAAAGTTAATTGGGTTACTTGAGGGGGGAATTTGTCAGAAAAACACTATGAAGGTTTTCCGTGATGAGGAATCTAACGGTGATAGCAGCATTTCCAAAAAATGCACAGCAACTTTGGGGTAGCAAAAATTTAGGGTGGACCTATAATTATGAAACGCAGTGTATATTTGTTTTCTAATTGAAATTGCTATACGAAGTTATGTACAGAATCCAAACTTGTCTTGTGAGCAAACGAACTATAAATTCACGTACATGTCTACCGCTTTGATTAGTTCCATTGTGATCTCATCACTTTGCGGCTTTTTAACCTCGTAAATGAAGTCACGATGATGTTGCAAACACATCACCCGCTGTGAATATCCTTCAAATCTACCTAACAACTGGTCCTGGATAGCTCAATGAGGAATAGAGAAGGACGACTCACCGTCAGTTAGATGTTTCCGGTTTGATCTGTTGAGATTAGCGCTAAAAATTGAGAGGTGGACTGAATACAATCGATGCCAGACTGAACTGGCGATCCGCGTCGACGTCAATATGAAGTCGCAAACGCCAGTATTCAGGCATCACGTAACACCTCTGTAACGTCAATCATTAGCCACATAAGAGATGCATAAGTAACATCGACGCTCGAACCATCAGCTAATGAAAGAGCCTGATTACAGCGAAAAATGTCCAATGAATTACCAGAGCTAGAACCCGTAGCACTACAATCGGAGACTGGAAGATCGTAGCAATTCGCCATCATTAATTCTTCCTCATCGAAGTCTCGAAACGGCACCTCCTAAAATGAATACGTGAACGCCGCTGTGATTCATTCGGAAGTCGCATTTATGCTCCGTTCGGTGGGAAAAATGAATGCTCACTTAGCCTAAAGAAGCATTCGCAATAATCGAGTGCCCGATCGCTATGCGATTTTACGGTCAACGTTCCTACCTTAGCCAAGTCTGGCAATCCAGAAACCGCGGAGGGATGGAAACCATAGTTAGTTCAGCGGACTGATCCACCTCGCAGGACGCTTCCGCAAAGCAGCACGCAGACCACTTCCTATGCACAGTTCTACGGTCTTCACGATACAAAGGCAGCCCCACGGAGATAAAGAAAGAGGAGGTCAATGATGCAGGGGCGGAAAATACCAATAAAAACGGCCTAAAACCCAAAGACGGGACCCTTTTTCTGGCCGTTGATTCCGCACTGAGGAGAGTCTCAACGGCGCTGACGTGTGAAACAATCTATCCGGTGAGTAAAAGAGATACCCGAATATTACAGGAGTAAGGCCAAGGCCTGATACCGCGCGACAAAGGCGATAGGGCCTTTAAAGTGAATTAGCGAGAGCTGGTGGGCAAGATGCTTCGAGCACACTTCGTGATACGCAACACAGATCTAATTTTGAATGAAAAAAAAAACATGATTACTGCTTACGGCGGTTGTCTTCGAGTCCAGGAAAACCGTAATATCTGCACTCACAGTGAGAGCATCTCTTAAGCCACGACGGAGAAATCTGTTCTGTAATTCTCACAATATTTTCCTAAAGGAGAAGTGCTGCAACTAAGCAGAAATTACCTTGACAATGTCCGAATGAAAGAATTTACTGGCAGTGATTATTCCCCCACGATTGATCGAAAGCACGCTCTTATTGAGGGAGCATTCTCTCGGTCCTTCAGGTGTTTCAACGCTAAATCGAATCCGCAACTGTATCTTAGGATTCGGACACCCTGGAATGAAATCAGACGAGAAATGCGACGCAAGATAGAGAACACCATATGCGGAGAGACTAGTATGGCCTTAGGAAGTCGAAAAATGAGGTCAAAGTGAATGATGACAGATTGCCCGGTCGCAATTCTAACAGCAAGTGTGCGTCGCACATCACCAACTCGCTTTCACCAATAAAGAATTCAGTATGTAGAAGCAATTCAATTCAATTCAACT